ATGCCCAGTGCAGATGTTTGTTGGGGAACAGGACCATCACCACTACCTGTGTCCCTCCAGAATGGAATGGAATATTATCAGCCAGATTTCTAAACAGTCCTGGGATATTCTGGCCATTTCATCCAATCAGGCAAACATATCAAGGGTAAGTGGCTTCTGGGGTTGCAGAACCCTAGGCACAGAAAAGAGAGGGAGCTGACGTCGCAATAAGGAGTATCCTTCAGCCCCAGGGGCAAGGGGGGAAAGGGGCTCCAGCCCTCTGGGAGTGAAGGGAGCGTGGGGCAAGGAAAACAGCAGCGAGCCATGAGAAGTCTTGGTTCCAGCCCCACTGTGTCTCATCAGCAAGTCCCTTCCCTTCTCTGGGCCTCAGCTTCTCTACCTGTTCAGTAGCACAGCTGGAGTGAATTCATGTTTGTGTATCACTGGTGCGATGGAATGAGATGATTTTAGATGGTTCACACATAAATATTTTAAATTTCATGTTTAAATCATCATGTATTTAATGTGTATTGGAAAACTAAGTACATCAAATACATAATTTCAAGGATAGCACTTAGGAGGAGGCAAAAGCAGCTATTTAATTTTTTAAAAGTTGAGTTGATTTCAACAAGTGATTAGTTCAAATGGAAATGTAGTAGTGGTTATGTGAATCTGTACATGTGATGAATGCACAGAACTGTAAGCACAACAAAAACATCAATGCAGGCAAAGAAGGAGGAAATCCAAGTCAGGCCTACAGCCCAGGAATCCTACTGTACCGATGCCAGTTTCCTGGTTTTCATAATGTGCTATAGTTATGTTAGATGTTATCATTGGGGCTATTGGGGGAGACCAGATTTCCATATTTTTTAACTTCCTGTGAATCTAAAATTATTTTAAAATTAAAAAGTATGAAAAATGAAAATGGTCAAAACCATGGAGGGAATACACAGATGACTAAAACTGGAAATAATGGACTAAAAGCTTTCTTGTTGGGAGGCTGAGGCAGAAGGACCATTTGAGTCCTAGGAGTTCAAGACCAGTATGGGCAACATAGCAAGACCTCATCTCTACTAAAATAAAATATAAAAAACAAAAAAAAAGATTAGCCAGATATGGTGGCCTGCACCTGCCGTCTCAGCTTCTCTGGAGAGGCTGAGGCAGAAGGACTGCTTGAGCCCAGGAGTTCAAGGCTGCAGTAAACCATGACTGCAGCACTGCGCTCCAGCCTGGGCAGCAGTGCAAGACCCTGTTTCAAAATAAATAAAAGCTTTCTTGAGCAATTCCTCCAAAAATCACTGTGAAAAACACATCAGGTTCTCTGGAGTAGACCACAGGGCTCCAGATGCTCCCCCATCCTGCCCTGACCTGTTGACTTCTAACCCAGCTAGCTATTTTATTTGTGACTGGCCATTCAAGCAGTTTTAGGAATCTCTTGCTCTCCCTCTATCAGTTAACAGTTTCCAAGGGAAACACGTTTGCTGAAGGTACAGACACAGGTTTCTTAGTCTGGGCTCAGCTATCCAGTGTGCAGGGCAGAGGCTCGTATGACCACAGACACCACCATGCCCTCCCTGCCATGCCCCTGGGGATGGGGTGTACCCTGAGAAGCAGATAAATGTTCTGGAAACTGAGCTCCAGCTTCCCTTTGCCTCTCAGAATGTTTGAGTGGCTGAGAGTTCTGTCCCTCCAGCCCCTGAAAGCCTTGACTTCCATCAAGTACAGAAGGGAAAACTGAAGCCCCAGCGGGGGCGGGGCCTTGCCTAAGGTCACATGGTGAGCTACAGGGGCTCAGTCACAGGCCTGGACCCAGGATGAGAGCTTTGGCGCTGCCGGGGGACGTCTGGCCCGGAGGAAGAGGGGCCAGGGTGGGAAATGCTGCTGTCCCAGAGGCGGCCCTCTCGGAGGATGGAGACGCCAGCTTGAACTCGGACAACGCCCACCTCAGAAACCTGGGCCGAGAAGCTCCCCACAAATTCGACAGATGGGAATTGTCAGCGTCGGGAGAGACCCGGGAGACCACCTCTTTCAACCTGGCATTTCACATGTGGGGAAACCGAGAAAAGGAAAGGACTGGTTTCAGACCATAAGGCCCGCTGGCGGCACAGCCAGGGCCAAAATCCCGGCCCCAGTGGCCTCCTGCCTCCCCCTGGGTCCGCCCGAGACCGACCCGAGCAGGGCCAGAGGGCGTCCCCAGCTCGAGGGCCCCCTCGGGGTCACGGCGACACACGAATCGGACTCCCAGAGTTGGGCTGTTTCCTGGGCTCCCGACTCGGCCCCGGCTGCGGGTGCCCGGCCGCGCACCCGACGTCGCTGTGGAGGCTCCCGAGCCGCCGCCGACGTCGCGACAGGCAGGGCTGCCAGGTCACCTGCATCAACTCGAAGATGTGGTTCGCCTCCCCGTACTGAGGCATCTCGGGTGGGATACGGTGCGGGGCGGTGGTCGCGTCCATGCAGCCGTCGCGGCGCTCCCTAGTAACAGCGTCGCTAGGGCCGCCGCGCCGGCTGCGTCATCAGCGCGCGCCGCGGCCCCGCCCCGCAGACGCCTCCGTGCCCTGCCAGGGTCCTGGAGCGTCGGTCGCGCGCGTCGCCCCCTCCCCGACCTCCCCGGCAGACGCGCTCAGCGGCTCGGGCAAGTTCTTTCCCCAACCTGGGCCTCACTTTCCCCATCTGAGCATCTTAGCGGGGACACCGTCAGGCGGATTCCAGCTGGGCCTCCTCGGATTTGAGACCCCCGGCGAAACCCAAGAGGGGCAAGTCGGCTCTCCGAGGTGGCGGGAGGCGGACCCTGCTTCTGGTTCTGTTAGCACTCCCCAGCTCCCACCCCCACCCCCCACGCAGCTCCCTGTGCCTCAGTTTCCCCATCTTCAACAGACGCAGGAATAGAAGTGGGAGAGGCTGCTTGAAGAGGGAGGGGCGTCTATGGGACAGGCCTGAGATTCGAGGATCGGGTGGAAATCCTCAGCCCAACTCCTGGCGATCGAGGCCCGGGAGACCCCTCCTCCCGCTCCCGGGCTCAGGCCGAGCGGCCACGTGACCCGATTGCTATGGCACCGGCAGTAACAATCAGGCCCGCAGCCCCTCCCCTTCTTGCCAGACCTCCCCACCCATCCCCGCCTCCCAAGCCCTGGGGTGGGCCTCCCCCACCCTCTGGGGCCCCGACACTTCCGGAGTCACTCCAGTTTCAGGGTGCTCCGTGGACCGAAGAGCGCTCTAGGACAAGCAAGGGTAAACAGGGACGAAGGTGGGTAGGCCCACTCGGACCCCACCCCTGCCTCTGGGTCAGAAACTGGAAGCTAGAGTGGAGGATAGAAAGATGGAGGGGTCCGGGGGATAGAGGGACCTGCACAGCTATCTCTCGGACGCGAGGGTGAGGTTCGAGCTGGAGACTTTCCGAGCTGTGTGAATTCCCAGCGGTACAGGTTTGCCTGGTATTTTATTGGTCGCAACACTGAATTGGGAGCTCTAGCTCTGGTCTGTTGCCATTAATAGTAGGAGTTACGGTTTGTTGAACTCTTAACTTTGTGCTCGCGGCAAAACTCTGTTGTCTCTGTACCTTATGGAGAGGGAAAATGGCACAGTCGGTGCTGACAGCCCAGATGCAAGTCCTGGCTCCATTTCTTACTATGTGCGTTTGGCCAACTCTTCACTTGCTTGTGCCTCACTTTCCTCCCCTGTGAAACGGGGGCTGCTGAAGGATTTCAGGAGCTGATGTATGGGAGAGTAACTAGCATGCAGTAAGCACAGAATATATGGGGCTACTATTAGTAGTAGTATCTCATTTAATCGTTCCAACAACCTTCATTCCCATTTTACAGATGAGAAATTGGAGGTTTAGAACAGTGAGGACTGGTTGGCTGGGTAACTTTGGGTAAGTCATGTTCCCTTTCTGGGCTTCTTCCCTCATCAGTTGTTGCTGATACAACCTTAGAATCAGAAGGCCCGTTGAAGAAGAGGCTAATCCAAACTGTCTCATTTGACAGATGGATAAACTGAGGCCCAGAAGAGGGAGAAATCTTGGCTAGGGCCACTGTTAAATTGGGCAGAGCCAGGGCATGAACCCAGCATCCAGGCTCCAGCTAAAGCGCTTTTCTACCAGCCACCAGCCCCGAGACTTGCCCTCCCAACATAAAAGCCAGCACTGTTACCTCTTCCCCTCCAAACTCTTTCCTCGAAGTGTGTACAGTTTGGTAGGCTTGTCAAAGCCAACTGTAAAGATAGCTGGGGAAGAAAAGGAACCTGCCTCCCCCTGAACAAAGAATACAACAACCAAGCCTGCCATTTGCACTGGAGAGGTTTGGTTTGCTTCCCGGACATTTCTGAAATGACTTGCCTTTCTCCTCATTTATTTTAAGCCCTAGGCGCTTTTCATACCGTGACTTAATCTTCTTTAGCAGCCTGGAAAAATACAAATCAATTAAAGCCGAAAACCTGTGGGTAATCATTTTTTTCCTCCCTCCTCCTCCAGATTGAAAAGTGCCCGTACCCTGTGCCTTTTATCCACACTAATTTGGCTGCAGCGGCTCTCATTCAAGGGCCGATCACTTCCGATAGCTTATTACAGCTCCTCTCATGACATTCCTGGTGTGCATGTCACTAAGTTACTAGGATCAAGAATGGAGTCAGTTTTGCTCTCAGGGGCTCTTGGGGCCACCAGCCAAGGTAGTGCTGTATCCCTGGAGAACTTGACAGCCCCAGGAAGCCCCAAGAGGGTGACAGGGAGCTGGGCCCACAAAGGGCAGCCCCTTGAATGTTTAGTCCTGTTTGTTTTGGGTCAAAAAAAAGGGAGAGTCTAGTGGTAATGGAAGTGGGGCCTGGGGCTAGGGGTCTAGCCAGTGGATGAACTCTAGTGAGGTCCGGCAGCTCTTGAAGGCCTTCGCAGTCCCTATCCTCACTGCCACAGTCAACTCTGATGTCTGGTGTGTTTGTCTCTAAGTACTACCAAGGGAAGGGGAAGAGGAAGGAGGAAGGGAGGGAGGGGGAGGGAGGAGGGAGGGAGGAGGAAGGGAGGAATCCGAGTTAAGAGCCCAGACTTTATAAAATAGCCAGGCAGAGCCAAGCAGGAAGTCCTGACTTGCGCATTCCTCAAATGGCCTCACTTTCTGATCTATCCTGTGCGGATAACCATGGTACCTCGCTCCAGGGCTGCAGTGAGGACTCGAGCTAATGCATGTCCTAGAGCCCCATCAGGTGATGCCCCGCTCTTCTCAGGAGGACTGAAGTGAGCCACGCTTCTTCAGCCCAGGATCTAAGCACAGCTCTAGCTCTCCCGGCATGATACCCACCCTCCTCCTGCAAATGCCTCTCCTGCAGATGGTGGCCCTTCATTCTCAAGGTTCCCACCTGCTTCCCTGCTCTATTTCCTCCTTATCTAAAATGCTGTTCATTTCACTCTTCTGCATGGTCTACCTTCCCCTGTGAAAGATGAGTTCCTCCAGGGCAGCGAATCTTGTTGGCTAGCCCAGCACCGGAATAGCACCTGGCACACAGTATGAGTGCACAAGGGAATGAATGGGTGCAGCGAGTGCTTTTCACTGCCTTGGCTTAGAAGCCTTCTGCCGTTCTTTCAAATGCTTCTCCTGACACTGGGGTCCCTCAGCCTGACCCTGTCCACTGCCCTCTTCTGCACCTGCTTACAGCAAGCAGTCCCACATCCCCACCCCTCAACCTCTCGTCCAGGGTCCCACCCCTACTGCATGCCTGCTTCACCTCTCCACAGCCTCCTCTTTCTCAAGTCCAGGTTCAAACTTCCCCTCCTCCAGGAGGTCAAGTCCTCAGCCGTTCCTGCTTCGTTTGAGGTCCACGCTGTGCTTGTGGTGTCGCCTGCTACTGCACACACCCATGCTTCAGCCGCAGTAGCGTTGACGATTCTGATGATGGCACTGCCACATTCCAGGCTCCATGGTCCACGCCATACACCTCTGGTCTCAGGTTAGCTCCCCCCAGGCTGGGAGGCTGCTGCACACTGAGGCTTAGGGAGGATGGGCAGCTTGCCCAAGGTCAGCAAGAAGGGGTGGAAGCAGGATTTGAATCCAGGCCTTTGTGACTCCAGGCCTTCTCAACCACCACCAGCCACAGCTCTGAGCATGATGGGAAAAAGCCAGGCCAAAAGGGCACACACCCCTTCTCCTGGACCTCCACTTAGGTGCCATCTCTCACTTTTCTGGAGCTTCAACTTTATGTCATTTGTAAGCCCTGGGCCAGGATTAGGGCCAGGCAAGCAATGCACTCTCAGCACAAAACTTAAGGGAATGTCAACAATTCAGTCACTGAGGTGGATGTTTTAATGCAATATTTAAAAAAAAATCAAAAATAGTACCCAAAATCCATTTAGAATAACACGTCAAAAATTTTAACTAAAGGCAGGCTCAGTATTACTGATTTTTCCTTTCGCCTCAGGCTTCAATATGGCAAGGTACGGCAATCTTTTCTTTAAAATTCCGATGTTGCCAGCACATGCTTATAATCCCAGCACATGGGGAGGCTGAGGTGGGAGGATCGCTTGAGCCCAGGAGTTCGAGACCAGCCTGAGCAACATAGGGAGACCCCCATCTCTATGAAAAAAGAAAAAAAAGTAGTCAGGCATGGTGGCATGTACCTGAGGTCCCAACTACTCAGGAGGCTGAGGCAGGAGGATCTCTTGAGCCCAGGGAGGTCAAAGTTAAGAGTGAGTTGTGATCACACCACCACATTCCAGCCTGCATGAAAGAGAAAGACTCCTTCTTTAAAAAGCATTTTTGGCACCAGTCGCTGTGGCTCACACTTGTAATCCCAGCACTTTGGGAGGCCGAGGCGGGCGAATCACCTGAGGTCAGGAGTTTGAGACCAGCCTGACCAACATGGAGAAACACTCTCTACTAAAAATACAAAATTAGCTGGGCGTGATGGTGCATGCCTGTAATCCCAGCTACTCGGGAGGCTGAAGCAGATTTGCTTGAACTCAGGAGGCAGAGGTTGCGGTGAGCTGAGATTGCACCATTGCACTCCAGCCTGGGCTACAAGAGTGAAACTCCATTTCAAAAAAAAAAATTTTTCGGCACTGCGGCACTGGGTACAGTGACTCATCCCTATCATCCTAGCACTTTGGGAGGCTGAGAAAGGTGGATCACTTGAGGCCAGGAGTTCAAGACCATCCTGGCTGACATGGTGAAATTCCATCTCTACTAAAAATACAAAAAATAGCCAGGTGTAGTGGTACACGCCTGTAATCCCAACTACTCTGGATGCTTTTTTTTTTTTTTTTTTTTTTTGCGAGATGGGGTCTCACTGTTTCAACCAGGCTGGAGTGCAGTAGTGCGATCATGGCTCATTGTAGCCTTGACCTCCTGGGTTCAAGCAATCCTCCTGCCTTAGCCTCCCAAAGTACTGGGATTACAGGCATGAGGCACTGTGCCTGGCCTATTTTGATCTTGATTGCTGAGTTTTTTGGTGGCTCCTTAAGTTTTGCATGGAGGCAAGTACCTCCCTCGCCTCACCCTAGTTGGGCCCGGGTGAGCCAGACACCATGGGAAGCACAACAGGGAAGCTCTGCCAAGGATATGGCAGGTGTGACTAAACCATGGGCCCTCCACCTCAGTCCCCAGCCTTGGCTTTCCTTTCCATGGGAGGTTGAGCTGGAAAGAGGCCCCTGCCCTGCCTGCCCTGGCCCTGGCCCAGGCCCACCCCAGGGGAGCTGCAGCTGTCCCTGTGTCTGTTGACAGTCACAGTGCTGTGGCTGTGCTGCAGAAGTGTGCTCTCTTGTCTTTCCAAGGCTGCTGTCTGTCTAAGGCAGCCTTGCTGGCTTTTGTCTCCAGGGACACTCCATGGCTGGGCTCTATCTTGCTAAAGGGCCTCTTCCCTAGCCTTCTCCAAGTGCTCTGATTTTCCACACCCGCACCGTCTCACTGAGGCCATCTCCTGGTCTGTTCTTGTGTTTCCTTTCATTCCTCTGATGCCATCTCCTCATTGCTCCCCCTGCCCCCGGCCATGCCCCCAGCTCCAGACCTGCTCTGTACACAGCAGAAAGAAATACTCCCGGCCCCATCTTGTTCTCATTCCTTTTCACCTGGGACCTGCTTGGAAGCTTGGAATGTGCCTTCTCTGCCCCGTGCATGCTAAATGTTCTGGCGCCTTCCACCTGCAACATCTCCCTTGGGCCGGACCTGACCTCAGCACAGCCTCCTCTGACCCCTGCTCATGTGCAGATACGTTCGAGCCTGGACTTTGTACTGGAGGCAGTGGAGGGGCAGCACTGAGGATGCTGGTTAGATGTAAGGAACCCTAGGACCCAGGGTGTCTTGGGCACAACTTGCTGTGACACTCTGGGCAAATTCTTTCCCTCTGAGCCTGACTTTCCCCCTAGAAGCTCAAGGGAGTTGGCCTTCTGAGTCCCTTCCAGCTCTAACATGATAGAAATGCGTGGTCCGGAGCCCTTTACATGCACTCAGCAAAATTGTGATGTCATGGAGTACAGACCTGCAGACTCTTCTGCTCACGGGAGCATTGTAGACACTCTGAGGACCACCCAAATCAAAGCAGGGACAGTCTGTGAGGCGCCGAGAGACAGCCCTCCCCACAGCCTCCAGGTTACTGATCATGGCATTCCAGCAATTAACGGGGGGCAGGGAACAGTCTGCTAGCCACCAGCCCTGCCCGGAGAATGGGCAAACCTGACATCAAGGCTCCTGCCCCCCTCCCCACCGGCACAGAGCAGGCAGACTCACGTCTCCTCAAACTAGACAGTCGAGTATCGATTCTTCTCCCTGCTTAATCCATGGGAAGGATTTCTCAGACTTTCCTACCAATTGCAGAGTGGCAGATGCTTTAAAAGAATTGGATCCAAACTGATAATCTCCTGGTTTTATATCCTGTGGCATAACCCTTGATCCCAGGTTTTGCTGACACCGCAGCGAGGGACTGGAGACCGTGTGTGCGTGCGCGTGTGTGTGTGTGTGTGTAGATAGCCACATCTGGAGAAACTGAGGACCAGAGAAACTGTCCACAGCTGAGGGAAGGAGTCGCATTTCATGGCAAAGAATGTGTCCATAGAGGGTCGATTTCAAGGTCAGGCTCAGCTGTGTCATGGACAGTCTGGGGGGTCTGGACCAAGGGTAGCAGCCTCCCAGGGCCTCGCTTTCTTCTGTGGGGAGGTGCTTACAAGGCGCTCCAGTGAGAGGGGCCGTGGGTATCCCTCTCACCCGACAGTCCTCTCCAGAGCTGGATCCCAGCGTCTGGTCCCAGAACGTCATCCCTATCCTCTTTCTCCCAGTAGATTCCTCCTCTCCTGTAAATGACCACAGAGGAAGACAATGAATGAAGTGAAAGAATCCCTCCGCGGCATCGAGCAGAAGTACAAGCTCTTCCAGCAGCAGCAGTTCACCTTCATCGCCGCGCTGGAGCACTGCAGGGAGAACGCCCACGACAAGATCCGGCCCATCTCCAGCATCGGACAGGTGGTGCTCCCGACCCCCGCCCTGGGTGAGGGGCAGCAAGCCCAGCCCCCTCTCATGAAAGATGAACCCACCGGGGCCCAGGGAGGGGAAGCACGTTGTGCCAGAATCAGACCCAGAACCTAAATGGTGGAATGAGTCCTTCATTGGTTTCTCCACCAAATATGTAAGTGAGTAACACAGCAGTGAAAGAGGCAGGCGCAAGACTCAGCCAGCCAGGGCTTCAGTCCTAGCTCTACCACGTGCCACAGCTTAAGCCAGTGACTTCACCTTTCGATGTCCTCCTCTGTGACACAGGGTCAGTCACACAGGGTCAGGAAAACTGGGGATTTATTGGTGACCAGACGGATCTCATCCCTCCCGTCAGGTTCCACTGGCGGTTGAGGAATTGTGGCATGCCAGGCACACCGCCAGGTGCTTTTGTTTAACTTGCATATCCTCCAGGGTTAGCTGCTGTCCAGGTTTGCTCTGCCCGACTTGGAGGCCTTGAGTCCAAATGCGCCTTCCAGGAAGTTAGGATCTGGAGCCGCAGTGCGGTTAGGAAAAACACGGGCAGCCCCCTTGCAGCTCGGAGCGAGTCAGCTTGTGGAAGGGTAACTGCCCCTTCCACAAGGGGTGGGAACAGGCGCTGGGCTCAGAACTGCAGAGGAGAAACAGGCTCAGGAGGAACAAGCAACCCTCGCTGGCAGCATCCTTTACAAACTTTTCTAATTTTTGTAAAATATTCCCTCGATTTTTTTTAACTCAAAAAATATTAAATGTAGAGGTCAGATGCAGTGGTTCATGCCTGTAATCCCAGCATTTTTGGGAGGCCAAGAAGTTTGAGACTAGCCTGCCCAATGTGGTGAAACCCTGTCTCTACTAAAAATCCAAAAATTAGCCAGGTGTGGTGGCATACACCTGTAGTCCCAGTGACTCAGCAGGCTGAGGCAGGAGGATCACTTGAACCCTGGAGGCAGAGGCTGCAGTGAGCCGAGATTGCACCACTGCACGCCAGCCTGGGCAACGGAGCAAGACCCTGTCTCAAAAAAAAAAAACAACAACAACAAAAAAAAACGTTAAATGTACAGAAAAGGAATACCCATATAACCCTCACCCAGATTTACCGACTCGTGACATTCAGCCAATCTGGCTGTATCTGCCCGTGCATGCAGCTCCTGAGCTATTGGAAAATAAACTGCTTCTTCTGTAAACCTGGACTCAGAGGGGAAAAGAAAAAAAAAAGAAATTGCGTAGATCCATCCTCCAGAAGCTCCGTAAATCACTGAGTGTCCCTTCCCAGAATGTACATCAGTGCTGCGTGACCCCCACTTCTATGCATAAGGGTGGCCTCTTGCCTTAGGTTTTACCGAAGGCTCTCGGTAAACAATGGCCTTGTGTTCTGAGTTGCCTCTCAGCCCTCCCCTGCCCTCCCGGAACCAGAGGTGTCCAAAAGTTTCCTGCACACCCCCCTACTGCTCTGTTGTAGTTACACCTTGGGGCAGGTTCCTCATCCTCGACCCCCACAGGTGCCCTTGTGGGTGTGTGTGTCAAAAGCCTCTCCCCTTTACAAAGCCGCTGTGTGCCTAGCAATCCTTGGGAAGGAACCACTTCAGATTGTTCGGGGAAACATCCTTAGCAACAAAAAGGCAGACGGTTACAACAGGAAAACCCTGACTTCGATGTAGACCTTTGTGGGTGCAGGAGGAGGTGCTACCTGCATCTGTCATCAGATTGTGGAGGGTAGAACCCTCTGACTGTGAAATGGGTCTGTTAATCTGGCCTGGACCAGAGCCAGTTCCTCCCTAGCACAAGATCAGACCTCCCACTCCGGCACAACCTCGGATGCAGTCACTGGGTAACCCAGTAAGCTCCTGGCCTGTCCCTCCTTCCTCTGCCTGTGAATACAGCATGGCTGGAGCCCAAAGGATTCCAGTTCTGCTGCTTCCTCCTCAGTGTGGGTGGCCCGCCCCAGCGTTTCTCACAATGAACCCTCTAAGTGGGATGGCAGCATGTGGCGTGAAGAGTCCGGAGCAGCCCTCTTTTGCTTTAGGTGGCGGTTGGTTCAGGGGGCATGGGGACAGGTGAGGGGTAGAGCATGGAGCCACTGAGCTGGGGACAACATCCAACTAAGCCACTTCCACTGGGGCTCTGGGCGGGTTATTTCACCTCTGCAAACCTCCACTGTTCATGTCATGCTACTCATCCATAAAATGAGAATTTAAAAAGGTACCTACTCAGTGTGTAGGGTTTACATGAAGACAAGTGAAAACAGGCCTGAAAGCATTTTTCATGGTGCCTGGGACACTTAATTTTCTATCTATCTATCCATCCGTCCATCCATCCATTAGTTTAATTAATTTTTTTGAGATGGCATCTCGATCTGTTGCCTAGGCTGGAGTGCAGTGGTGCAATCTCGGCTCACTGCAACCTCTGCCTTCGGGGTTCAAGTGGTGTTCCTGCCACAGCCTCCTGAGTAGCTGGAATTACAGGCAGGTGCCACCATGCCTGGCTAATTTTTTCTTCCAAGTAGAGATTTTTCTTCCATGTTGGCCAGGCTGCTCTTGAACTCCTGACCTCCAGTGATCCCCGTCCACCTCAGCCTTGCAAAGTGATAGGATTACATGTGTGAGCCACTGTGCCCAGCCGATCCATTAATTTTATATCTATCCATCCATCCATCATCTACAGAGAGAGATACCACTATAGGGAGTGGGCTTAAAATGCTTAAGCATTACTTGTATTTCCCCCATGAGTCATGGAGGGTGGGAGGGAGTAGGGTGGGTGCTCCTGGACGTTTGCACTGTCAGCCATCCAGGACCCGGGTTGGCATGTCCCCAGCTCATGTGGCGGTGGCCTTTGCAGGTGCAGAGCTACATGGAGCACCACTGCAACAACTCCACGGACCGGCGGGTTCTGCTCATGTTCCTGGACATCTGTTCGGAGCTGAGTAAGCTCTGCCAGCACTTTGAGGCCGTGCACTCTGGCACCCCAGTCACCAACAACCTCCTCGAGAAATGCAAAACCCTCGTGAGCCAAAGCAACGACTTAAGCAGCCTCCGAGCAAAGTAAGTCCCTGTGGTGCTGCCCGCGAGGCCCCGTGTGTGCCTGTGGGAGGCCCCTGTGCTGCATCCGTCCTGTTGCCTGGACTGTGCACCTCCTGTTAGACCACCCTGGGCAGCAAATCCCAGGCTACACTTATGTACTGGATTGGCTTGGATTCCACACAGCCTTTTCTTTATAACCACTGTAGACACGGCAGGACACCAGGCATCTCATGGGAGTTAGCACCGGCAGGTGAAGAAGGGGCGTAGGTAGAGCCTAGAGCAGTTGTCTCCGGAAGTCCACAGAGATCCTCACTGATGTGCAAAGAAGTGGACCCAGAGCTCCCTCCCGGGGCAGCAGCACTGCCACTGCAGGCTTCTCACCGTGGCAGCCTGGGAGCCCACAGCACAGTGGGCTGGAGCCTGGGGAAGCTCTGTAGATACCAGGGTGAGAAGAGCCAGAGGGACGAGCCAGCCAGTTCCTCACCCCAACCCAGGTTTCTACGGACCATGGGCCAGTGCTTTGCACCTCCTTTCACACCAGAATTACCCGGGGCTTGTGGCACCCCAGGCCTGCTCTGCCAGAATCTCTGGAGACAGAGAGGCTGTGTGTCTAGTTCTAAAGCCTCTCTCCCCAGGCGACTCTGCTGTGCTCGAGGTCTGGCAGCTGCAGTCCTGGGAGCATGGGCTCACCCGGCCCCCTGCCGTCCTGCAGATACCCTCATGACGTGGTGAACCACCTCAGCTGTGATGAGGCTCGGAACCACTACGGAGGTGTGGTCAGCCTCCTCCCCATCATCTTGGACTTAATGAAAGAATGGATCGCCCACTCCGAGAAGTTGCCCCGCAAGGTGCTGCAGCACGTGAGTGAGCCCCAGCCGTGCCAGGAGAGTACCAGGGGAGCCGCTCATCCTGCCCGGGCCACAGGCACCCAGCTCGGGGCCACTAAACTCAAGTGTAGACCGCTCACAAAAGGCAGCCTCAAACCCAGGGGGAAAGACAAAGGACGTTCAAAACCACCCTGGAGGCCTCCTGGTGGGAAACTGTAACCCAGCAGGGCACCCCATTGCTCCATCGGTGGAGAGCTTTGCTATTTAATTTGGATGTTACTGGTTGGTCCTTTTTCATTGGTACCCACTGTTCCTGCCGATTACTAACCCCAAACAGAATCAGCCAATACATTACTGAGACCCGCCCCCCCGACCTCCCTCTCTGGCTTTAACTTCTAACGTTTCCGCTTCTACGTGTTAGGCTCTGTGCTGATGAAGAGGAAACCCACTTACAGGAGCTGCCCGAACAGGGTGGCATGGTAGAGGGTCCCAGGAAGGCACTGAACTGTCACCTAGGTCCTCTGTGAGCCACATCTGGCTCCAGTGCCAGGCCTGTCCCTGCTGTGGGCTGCAGCTTTGCAGTGAGCCATGTAGCTGGAGACCATTGCTCCTTGCCCCTCCAACAGCCCCAACTGCAGTCACGGCACACGCTGTCTGCAAGCCAGGGATGCACCCCTCCGGGATGGAGAGGGGGTCGGCATGTGGAACTCAGTGTGTTTATTTTTATTTTTTGAGATAAGAGTCTTGCTCTCTCTCCCAGGCTGGAGTGCCGTGGCACCATCTCGGCTCACTGCAACCTCCACCTCCTGGGTTCAAGTGATTCTCCTGCCTCAGCATCCTGAGTAGCTAGAATTACAGGCACCTGCCACCCGGCCTGGCTAATTTTTTTTTTTTTTTTTTCCAGTAGAGATGGGGCTTCACCATGTTGGCCAGGCTGGTCTTGAACTCCTGACCTCAACTGATCTGCCCACCCCGGCCTCCCAAAATGCTGGGATTAGGTGTGAGCCAGATCTCAGTGTATTTAGTTCTCCAGACCACAGCCGAAGGGGAGCGAACTCACCTTTCCTTCTCGTTTACTTGGGAGAGGGAGACCATGACAGAATCCAGAATTCCGATTTTGTGGCTCCAGAGAAAGGGCAATGACCTGGCTTTCACAGCATCGTCAAACCCCAAACACTGTGAAATGTGTCCCTGGCTTCTGAGCTTGCCCAGAGTAACGTCTGACTGTTGGTTTTTCCCTTCACAGGGGACGACTTAGCTTCTGTATTGTTGCTTCCTCAGGGGGAGACAGTCGAGAATAAAAGGTGTTCTACCATCTCTCTGCCTGGCTTGGTTTCCTGGGATTTATCCCTGAAAGAAAACCCGCATTTCTCCCAAGACACCAAAGGACACTGGGCAGTAGCCACACAGGCCAAACCTCCGCAGACAGCAGAGGGCAACCCTAGGCAAGGGAGCATGCCTGTCTCCAGTCAGCTTCTAAGAGGTTCATGCCCAAGCTCCAGAGGGCCAGTATTCAGATCTTCTGCCAAGGGTAGGAAGTCTAGGAAGCCTAGTTAGAGACCCTGTCAGGTAAGAAAACCTGAATTTTCCAGAGAAATTAAAAACTGCCACCTGCCAGTTTTAGTCTCAAAGGAGTTGCTTCAACCATTAAAATGGGCAGAGCAGGCTGGGTGTGGTAGCTCACACCTGTAATCCCAGCACTTTGGGAGGCTGAGACGGCTGAGTCACTTGAGGCCAGGAGTTCGAGACCAGCCTGGCCAACATGGTGAAATCCTGTCTACTAAAAATACCAAAAAAAAATTAGCCAGGTGTGGTGGCAGGTGCCTGTAATTCCAGCTACTTGAGAGGCTGAGGCAGGAGAATCACTTGAACCTGGGAGGCGGAGGTTGCAGTGAGCCAAGACCACGCCACCGCAGTCCAGCCTGGGCAACAGAGTGAGACTCTGTCTCAAATAAATAAATAATAAAGTGAGAATAAAATGAACAGGGCAATGCTGATTTCCAGACACAGCCAGACACAAGCAAGCAACTGAAAGCCACATTGCAAATGACTCATCCCTTACATGGTCCTTACATGGAAGTCCCAGGCCAAGAGATCATAAGCCAAATTGTGTCAAGGCAGTTTCCGGCCTTCTTCCAAAGCCTTGAAGGGCATGGAGCAAGGGGTGCTGGGAGCTACACTGTCACCTCGGTGCGCTCACATTATCACAACCAGCAAGGCTCAGGAGGGTGAGCTCTGGAGCACTGACGTGTCAGTGGGGTGTCACCAAAAGGACTCCGTGGCACTCAACATGCCAGGCATGTTGCAGCAGCACAACCCCGCAGACCACCTGGCTCTGGGGTTTCTCTGTAGACAGAATTCAAGTCACCCCCTCCCACACTATGCCACTCAGCCACTCTGAGGAAGAGCATGGATTTGAGGCAGGTAACAGGTAGGATTTGTGGCGGTGCACCAGTAATTCACCAGAATAAAAAGGGTCTTCTTAGAGACAAAAGCCCAAATCCACTATTTGTCAGGCCCCTCCCTCCTCAAGTCACCGAACCCTAAGGCTTTCTATCTCTGGACTAGTCCCCTGCCTGACCTATAAGCCTGCCAAGGCCAGTGTAAGTCACTCCATGTCCACACAGCAGAGTAGTGCAAAACAATAATTTTTATTTGTTCACAGTTAAACACAAGCAACTGCCTTGACATTTTAGAACATTCTAAGAAGGACAGCAAACCCTTTTGATTCCAATTCCCATTCACTAAGATTGTACCATTTTATCTTGCAGTTCATATTTATGGCATCTGACGTGGATTGTTGACATGCTTTTAAGATTGAGGCTGGAAAGTTTAGACCTTTTGACAAGAGCTGACTTTCTTCAATTTAACTAAAAGCAGTCCGTTAAAAAAAAATCAGTTTCTTTTCACTGATGGGACCCCTTTAAACTGCAAGTTTGCCACACATGGTTCATCCATGATTGAGTTATAAAACTAGATTATGTCTTAGCAAAATCTGTTCCTCCGTAATATATTTGTGGTCCATAGAAGTCGTCTGAAAAGTGATTACTGATTCTTCCTAGTGCAAAATGCATGGCTGCCTCTTTCATAAGCCCAAGTATTTGCTACACAGAGCAGCTCCTGTCCAAACACTGGGAGAGGTGGGGAAAGGGAGGGAAGGATTGGTCTGGGGGTTCTCAAGACTCTCAGGGTCTCCCCTGAAAGGTCCATGCTAATGGTTAAATCAGCCTACTTATCCCGGAGAATGGATAATGTGGCACTGGGAAGCGGGGCGGAAGCTCCTCTGCCTTCATTAGCTCATTTCATGACCAAAAGCCGTGGGCACAGGTGCTCGGCTCTTCCGGGCAGGCTTCCCCTGTAGCTGCAGCCGCTCCTCCCTCAGGCGAGCAGGTATGGACTGCAGGATGGCATGGAAGAGACAGGAACACGCCCCTCTGGGAACATCGAAGAGTCCCAGACAGGGAAACAAGCCACATGGGACAAGGGTCACAGCAGCAGCCTAGGGGCCAGTCCTCGACCTAAACTTGTTCTTTTACCTACAGACAAAAGCTTAAGTGCAATCAATTACTTTGCAGCGATCTGGGGGGCATGTGTCACAGAACTCTGGATGTAAACAGATACACAAACATCTTCAGACTGGATACATTTTTCCAACACTCACGGCAGGTCTGTTTTAAAGCATGTACCCTGGAGAGTGAAGATGCAGCAGACACGGTGTGCTGATTTGGTCACTGCACACAAGGCAGCTTTCTTCTCCAAGTGGGGCAGAGCCCCCTGGGGGGACCATGCTCCAAGAATATCTGCAGCGGGCAGGCAGCACTCCATCTCACCAAGGTCCTGGCCGGGCCTTCACTCTGCCCAAACCCTCCTCCAGCCTGTACAGGCTTCCTCCCACCTCAGTGCTTTCAGTGAGAAAAAGTGAGTATTGTTATGCAGTACTTTTGTTTGCTCTTCAGTTTTCTTTCTTTCAAGTGGTATGCTCTACGGTTTGGTAGAAATTCACATTGGCTTGTCACCGCACACTTCAGCTCTGCTGGCTACACGAAACATACCGAGTTTTCTATTCTTAACAGCGAGTCTGAGCCTCTGTGGTCTCAGAGAGCCTTTCATCCCCACGACCATTTTATATATCCTCCTCTAAACAAGTGCTAGAGTTTTATCTTTGTCAACAAACAGACCAGAAACTACACGTGCTGTTGCAAAGGGGACGGCCCGTGTCTGCGGTTTCACTCCCTGTTGTCCTGCTTTTGCCCAGTAATGTGCGGCCTGGTGGGTGAATTCTTCTAATTGTCAGTGGCTTCCAGGACCTGTTTCCTGGGTTTAACAGTTAGCCTTCTCAGAACAGTTTGGACTGTCTCCCCCAACCGCGTCACATAAACTTTGGCTCACAAAGTAGCTCACCTCTCGCCTCTCCACGCGTCAAGCTTAGTAAGAAAATTCTGCAGCGTATTCCCAAAGGTCGGGCAGTTTTCTCTCCTGAAAACCACTGTGGGCAAACCTAGGGAGGTCACTGTCCACCCGCCTTAGGAACGCTGGGCCAGCACTCATCTCCAAGGACATCTTTAACAACCTCTCCACCTAAGAAATGACCTTGACCTTCCTACCTTTGGGTTTCCGTTTTCTTCATGACGTGTTTCTTCCAATCCCATAATAACAATTTTTATAGACTTTACGGCAGAGCCTTGTCAACGGCTTTTTGAAAATCCACGGAAGTTCTATCAGACGCAGATCTGCGTGCTTATCCCCCTGCAGGGACTCGGGAGCTCATGTGCTCTGCGGTCTTCTTACCCCGCCGACCCCCCGCTAAAACTGTAGTGCTCCGTTTTAAATGAATCCCATGCTGCATAGCAGCAGACTTGGGGCTCCTCGGGGCCTGTGCTGACTCTGGGTAGTGTCAGGTGGGGAACTGAGTATGTTATGCATATTGGCCAAACAGCTGAGACAGGTATCCTCGCCCATAGTGATTTCTGGACAGAGACCATCCAATCCCAGTATTTATGAATACCAAGCTGCTTAACCGGTTTCAAGGCAGACTCTGCCCTTAATGCTAATTGTACTGATGCCTTTGCCCAGGACTGAACTGCCTCTCGAGAGTCCTACTATCACCTTTCCATCCTTAAAACTCATCACTGCAGCAAGATCAAGTGACCTGTTGACTCCTGGCAGGTTCATCACTTCCAAAACCAAACCAAACCTAACTACTGACTCTGGGGTTCTTGGCAACATAGAAGCCTGCATTTTTAGGTTGGGCACTTTGAACCTACGTCCAGGTCTCAATCCCCCAACCGTAGTTGAATAAACCCACAGCCCCCCAAAACTCAAAGGCACCTGAGCTTGCACCCGCCTTTGATATAAAGCTGAGCAAAGGGACACCCAGGCCGGATGGATGAAGCTCCATCCATGGAGCTTCCAGCCTAGGCCTCTCACCACTTGACCAAGCTGCCTCCTTCCTTCCCTTTATTTTTACAACCTATCTACTTATAAAATGTTTTTTCTTTTTCACGTGGGCCTCTTTTCCTTTGCCAATCAAGGAAAAGGCTTTAAGTGCCTGCTATCTTGTTCTGTGGCACAGACCTCTTGGGCGTGAGGAGGGGAAAGCACTTGGGTTTCGGGATTCACCGATGGGACTTCCTTCCCTTTCTAAATTTGTTCACGTTTTCCTTTCCTAAAGCTGAACCAAGAAACTAGACTGTACTGGATTTTAAGCTTTCCTTTGGACAAAGCTGAATTAAACGTGTGGTATCACTAATACTCCACATCTGACATTCAGTGGCAACTGCCAGCCTGTGCTAGGCCGAGTAGCGACCTGGGGACCACACCCTGCCACAGGCTGGGAATCAGTCACACCCAGAAAGCCTGCCCTCAACAGGTTTCTGCTGGTATAGCCAGGGTGACACGGAATCTCTGTCTAGTTCCCTTTAGTTAGGGATGCTGGAATATTTATTGCCATGCTTTAAAAAAACAAAAACAAAAACAAAAAAAAAGTTTATTCTCTCATGCTGGAAGCCTCTGTCTGCGCTAAGATTTCGTACCGTGAGAGTTTGTTTTTTTTTTTTACCTCTTTGACTTAATCCTTCTCTTCTTTTTACTGAAAGAACAGAAACAGGAAAGCCGAGTTCTCTGGCTCCTTCTTACCAACCTTCCCTGCCTCGGCCGGACACCAGGCAGCAATTCTTAGGCTTCCAGCATTTATTTCAGGAGCATTTGTTGAGTCTGGATTCTCTGCCACTGCCACTTTTCCAACTAATGTCCTCTCTCACGAGCATGTGGGGCAGCCTAGGGCCAGCATTCTCCCGGACTCCGCTTAAATTGCTCTG